AAAAAAAAAAAAAAAAAAAAAAAAAAAAAAAAGAAAGAAAAGAAATCACAAGGCCATTTTCATATTTTGCAGAATTAACATTAATTTATCTCATTATCTGATACCTGGTCCATATTAAAATTTCTCCAGTGGTCAGTGAAATGTCTTTTTTTTTTTTTTGCTCAGCCACTGAGCCACATTCCCAGCCTTTTTTATATTTTATTTTTAGACATGGTCTCACTAAGTTGCTGAGGCTGGCTTTGAACACAATTGTGCTCCTCCTTCCTCAGCCTCCCAAGTTGCTGGGATTACAGGCATGTGCCAATCTGCTTAGCCAAAATAAATGTCTTTAAAAACAAAAACAAAAACAAAAAACCCCCACAACACTTGGTTTCCCTACATCAGGATTAATAAAGGAGAATTTAATATTTCTTAAGTATCCTTTTTATTTTGTAAAAAAACTTCTTTCTTGCTCTTCCCTTCCCCCATCTACCTTTTCCCTTCTGTGTCACTATTTGGAGTAACATATTAAAAAAAAAATTATAACTTTATTTGTTTACTTTTTTATGTGGTGTTGAAGATTGAACCCAGTGCCTTACCTGTGCTATGCAAGTGCTCTACCAATCAGCTATATAGTCCCAGCCCCTGGAGTAACATATTTTGACCTGTAGAATTCCCTCATTTCAGATTACAGAAAGCTGTCTATATGTGCTTGGCTTCATTTAATCTCCAACAGATTTTTCTGCATCTCAGAACTTAAAAAGCATCTCAGTAAATGTATACAGTACAACTCTAATTTTACCCAAAGGCGTGCACGTGACTCTCAAGTATGCATTTGTACCGAGGTGCACTGAACACAACCAGTTATCTGGCTTCTCCATTTCTTTCTTTCCTTGCCACTTACCATAGTTGGACACAAGGGGGCAAGAGCACACCAGTGTTGCTTTTCTCCTGACAGTCCCTACACAGGGCTTTCTGAATGGGACTGCAGTGAACCCTCGCCAAGCTACAGAATCAATGGAGAACAATATGTATGTGTACACCCAAGGAAGAATGTGACAAGAATGGTGCTCCAGGTTACCTCCTCTCAACAAAATCCTTCTTTACTGGCTTCCCAGCTTGGTTAGGATGGATTGAACAATGTAGCCCAGAAGTTCCCCTTTTTAAGAACAATATACGTTTTTTAAAATATTATCAATTTTTTAGCTGTAGATGGACACAATACCTTTATTTATTTATTTTTATGTGGTAATGAGAATTGAACCCAGTGCCTTACACACACTAGTCCAGTGCTCCACCACTGAGCCACCATCCTAGCCCCAAGAATTATATACTTTATAGGGACTTCAAGGTTAAAATTATCCTAAATCAGTGTGTATACTTAAAAAAAAAATTTATACACACACACACACTCATATTTTATATTCTCATTCAATCTGAGTTGGGTCACATTTATTACATATTCATTAATGCAAAGTCCTGTGCAAAGGGAATGTCCTCCATATTCTACCCTATTCTTTAGATGTTAAACCAGACATGGAGATGATGATATGTTAATAGGACTTATTACCTACCTTCTCTGCTAGGGACAGCACAGTACTGGCCTGAATGATGGCCACTTGTTCTTCATTTCTTAAATTCTGTGAAAAATAAAAGAGAAAGGCAATAAGCTGAATATATTTATTTTTATACTACAGAAAATAACTAATGCCATAGATGCTACTCTTTATGTATGCACAAAAGCTTAACAAATTCCTATTGCTTAGTAATAATTCCCAGTAGTTAATCCAAAACCTGAAAGAGGAATATCAAGTGTGATTTCTTTTCTTTTTTTTTTTTTTCCATTTCCTAATTTTGATTTGATTTTGTGTCACTGCAAGGATACTTCATTAATAGCTATTTTATGAGAAAAACAGAAATCAAATAAAATAAAGAACACTCTTCATAGCTGTTTTGATGTGATTCCGTAGATTTTGTTTTCTCCTTTGATAATTTTTCAGAATAAACAGTGACTGCTTGAACTTGCATACTTCATTCAGCTAGTATCACAATGAATGATCCCCCACTGAATTAATATGCCTCGACCCTGTCTAGAAGGAGTTTTTAGAAAGAAAAAGGATTATAGCTTTCTGCTTCGTTTTTATGGAGCTGCCAGCAACCCTAGTATTTAGCAGCATTTGCAAATGCCTGACTGATTAATTTTATACTGGATGCCTCTGAGCAACAGTCAGAAGGTAATTAGCCTTAATGACTGCAGATGTGGTCAGCATTCAGATCTGAAACCTGCCCATGAAAAGCACTCTACCAGGTCCCATTTCTGCTACTACCTCCTACAGATCCTAACATCCCCTTTGGCAAAGTTGTTTAATAAATTGTAGAATCTCCCAAGGGAGCTACATCTGTAAGTGAAAATGTTGTCTCACTTGCTATTATTTCATGTACATGATATACTGGTAAGTATTTCTTATCTCTTGTTTAGGCACATTCATATCTTTATCATACTTAATCAATTCATTACTTACCCCATTATCGCCCAAGATATCAAGCTGCTTTATGAGATCAGGGATGTTCACATCCTGCAAAATCAAGAAGATGCACTGAAGTCAAAGAGATGAATGTGGCTTCCCAATCTACCAGTGCCAGTCACCAATTCAGTGAAGTCGTTTTAGGGCCATTATGTCTGTGGGCTGTCTTCCATGAGGCATACCTTGTTTTGAGTTTCCACTCTTGCTTCTTAACAGCCGTATGAACTTGGGAATTCTACTTAACAGTTCATTCTCAGCTGTCTCAGATGCAGAACAGAGATAATAAATATCTACCTCATAGGGTGGTGTACAGAATGAGGCTGTGTGAGAGTCTAGCATGAAGTACGGACTAGGGGTATTAACTTTTATTCTTATAATTGCCAATTTTTTTCCAATTATGATATGTTTCAGGCATCAAAAAAGGTAATATAAAGAATCGATTTTGTTCTAATTAAAGGAATCCTGGTTTGGTTAATTTTGACTGTCAATGTAGAAAACTACAAAGCAATTCCTTTTTTTTTATATGGTTAGATTAATTTACAAATTTTCATGTAACCTAGGAAAAAGGCCAGAAGTTTAAACACTATGAAGTGGTTGAAGTGATGGAAGCCAAGGATGCACAATTTTATTGACTAATTTATATCCCACTTTTTTTTAACCTCGTTATACCACTCCCTCCTCCTATTCATGTTCAAACAACAGCACAGCAGAGCCCTGCCACCAGGAAAGGCAAAGTCTATCTCTATGTGATAGGAAGAGAGAAGGCAACTGAAGCAGGCATGTTTGGCAGCTCAGAGTAGGAGCAGTTTGGCCATGCAGAGGGTAAAAGAGAGACCAGGACTAGCAGGAGGCATAACAGCTGCAGCTCAGGAAGAGAAACTCACAGTGCAATTTCATTACACGGAAGGACAATACATTTTCTGGGAAATGCAGATACTTCAATTTCACCTTATTCCATTAACACTAAGGGTAGATTTTATTTTATTAAATAAGTGACATGTTATAAAACTGAAGCACTTCCAAAGTGGAAATCCTCTCTAAATTAAATATATCAAGCAAACTAGATGATTTCAAAGATGTCTTCTAATTCCCAAATCCCATAATAATGAATTCCACAGCACCTAGAAAGTCACAACAAAGGGGCTCATCAGATACATTTTTATCTGCAGACTTGCAATATGCTTCTCTCTCTCTCTCATTTTTAAAATTTTTAATTTTTGCAATGCTGGGAATGGAACCCATAACCTTGCACATGCTGAGCAAGCGCTACCACAGAGCTACATTTCAGTCTTGATATATGCTACGTGAAGTATTGACTTACTTTCACATTTCCCCTCATTAATTAAGGCTAATTATCTTAATAAATAAGATATTAGAACAGAACTGCTCTGTTCTAAATAATTATGACTGCCTGTGTCCTTACTGTTCATGTATGTGTGACACATTTATATTCTTATTGATTTTTCCAACAGATGTGACTATTTGCAATTCCTACATGGTTTGTATTCAGTGATTGAAAAACAAAACAATCATGAACAATTTCCCCTTTTCCAATTCTCAGTTTTTCTAATTTCTAAAAACAAAAAATTTCATGTGTGCCTACCTTGACACCTTCTTTCATACAGTAGATCTGTAGAGCGCTCACACCATCTGAGAATGGGTGGATTTGTAGATTAAATGGAGGGGATCGCCTCTCTCTCTCCTTGAAATACAGCAAAGAATATGTGAGAATTTTTAAAATAAGGAGCAACTGATTAAACACTAAACCAGTTGTCTCTTTATGCAATTTCAGCAGTGTATCAATATGTCTATTGCCCTCCCCACCCAAAAAATTAAACTCCAGGTGTTCATGCTTAAATTTAATAGAAAAAAACTGACCAGTCAACTAAGTGAAATGGGAGAAAAATGGATAGATAGTGACATTCATTCTTGCAAATATTTTTATTAGAGAAATGCAGAAAGCGAAGTTCCTGTTTCAACTGTATAAATATTTAGAACTTTCAGATATCGAAGAGTGGCCTTGCAAGGAAGTTTATGGTAGCAAATAGCCTTTTCAATCCACTCAATCATTTTGAGTGAGATCTGTAGATGTAAAAGATGCCTAACTCTTCTTTCCTGAAGGATATAAACTACTAACTTTTTATCCAGGTCTAATTTGAAATAACCTCAAGAAGAAATCACTGGTAAAATAACAGAAAAATAATACAGTAATTTTCCTTGCAATTTTACATATTAACATATTCAACTTGACCATAAGCCAAATTTTGCATGATACAATCAAAATCTGATTTGATTTATGTTGTATTTAAAAAAAAAAACCCAAAGTCAAACATCTGAATTTCCCCCACTTAATCAAGTATTTCCTAAAACATGTTACCTTGCTTCTTAGTATACTTTTGCATAAATGTTTTATAGACTAATAAGTTTATTTAGCAATTCAAATTTAACTAAAGTATTTTCTCTAACATATTTTGAAATATAATTCTTGAAGTGACATTTCGGAGTCAAGATTCAATGAAAGATGGATATTATTGAAAAGCAATGAAGTCATAATGAGGTTTAAATTTATTATTTAAATTATTTAAAAATCATCAGACTTGTGTATAAAGGCATAGGTGTTTGAAAAGCACCTGTTTTTGAATGTGAGCACACAGTTCTGATTTGCCTCAAGGTTTTACCACTCACAGCTTGGGGGACTTGGGGGACTTAATTTTAGTTGCCTTGGTGATAAGATCTGGAGAGTGATTGTGAGGTCCATGTGAGAGTATGAATTTGAAATGCTTCTTTCAGCCCCTATCCAAGGTGCTCAGTGGGTTTTATCATCATCATCACCATCATCATCATCTCCTTACTTCTAGTTCTAGGTTTCGAAACTCCAGCAGCTCATTCTGGTCTCTGGCGTCCTGTAGTTCCTGTTGTAGCCGGTGATTTTCTGCCTCTTGTTTTTCTATCTAATAAAGTAAATCCTGAAGTTAGGTGAGCATTGCAAAAAGCAACTACAACTTTGCAAAGCAAGCATGGCTAGTGTTAACTCCCTCGGTGAATCAATCATCTAGGCCATGAAAAAATTCCCAAGAAGATGTGAATAAAATAGTTTTTGGTTTTCCTTTTAGTTATCCTCCAGCTAAGATGTCTGAGTCATAGAGAAAAATGATGGAAGAAATCTCTGTTTTGGGGAATAAAGTCCAAGGCTCCTGTGAATAGTAAATGTGAGCTACTCATATGCTCTTGTGGGACAGACATAGTGGAGTAGAACAAAGTCAAGGATTTCTATAAGGGGTATCGACACCTCTCAATTCTGGAGATACCACTTGTCAGGGAAGTATATTTTATTGTAAATGGACAATTTATAATTGTATAGATTTATAGGGTAAAATTGATGTTATAATTTGTGAATATATGTGGCATAATTAAGTCAAGCCAGTTAATTCATCCAGAACCTAAAATACTTGACATTTTTGTGGTGATAATATTTGACATTTATGCTCTTAAGGGTTTTGAAATGTAAAATAATTTTTTAAAAACAACATTTATCTTATACAAAACTTCACTAAATTCCAATTACCTACAGAATAAGGGCAAACTCCTAATTATGAAATTCAAATACTTTAGTAATCTGTTCACTATCTAACTTTAAATCCAGTTTTAAATGTATCAGTATCATTCCTAAAAATCCTCTATGTACTCACGTGACCAACCACATACACACTAGAATCTGACAACCTCAATCTACCCAGATGAAGTGATTCTTCTAGAACTCTGTCTTTTCTTTCTGAAAAGCACGTCCCTATCTCCTTTTTTACAGACAAAACCCTACATTTCTTGGGCACCAAGCTCTAAGGTCCATAAGAACTTTCCTGGGGTGGGGGGAGTCTACCCATTTGAAAGTGACACCTCTTCTTTCTGTTTTCCTATAGGACTTTCTTACAGGACATTTATACAACAATATGAAACATAAAATTAAGTTAGCTGTGTACAAATGTGCCTCCTCCTGAAGACAGGCTTCTTGTCTGAGTCATCTATGGATATAAGGGATCAGAAAATCTTTATGAACGACAATAGACTTGGGCTTCCTTTGACACTAGCTGTGTGGGTGGGCATTATACACAGTAAGTATTTAAAATTTTAGATTTAGAAATACAAACCCAGAGTCCATTTCTTTTTATCACAGAATGAATCTTACTCACCCAAACATATACTTTTAAAGTTAAAAATATTTACTTTTAAATTTATTCTTAGAAGCCAGAGCTCAAAATTTCTCCTTTTGGACCAAATTAAAAAAAAAAAATAAAGGAAATCAGATTTAAGACATACTGGGAATAATTTTTCATTATAAAAATGAAATAACACTTATTATTAGACATCTCTGAAATTAATAGGAAAGGAAAGGTGGTGAAATTATGGGATATGAATTAATGTAATCAACTCAAGTTTTTTCTTCTTCTCTTCTTGCAGTGCTGGGGATGTAAACCAGGCTTTCACAAATATTAGACAAGTGCTCCAGCACTGAGCTATATCCCAGCCCTTAACTCAATTTTTTTTTTTAACTCTAGATCTCAGTGGTTCAATGAACTTTCAGATATCTCTAGAAATTGACTCAGATTGTAAAGGAGATTCTACATTCTGAAATCTTGAATTGGGTCAGTAATGGTATATTTGCTGGTCCTGGTAGTTAGTGAAACAATTAGATCAGCTGTCCACAGAGTTGAGTTCATGGGCTGGCACTAAGGACAACGAGGTTTCTTATAGGAACACTCAACCTTCCCAAGAGCACCAGTTCTCGATTTTGGATACCTACACACCCTCTATATCTCAGCTCTGTCTTACATCATGCAGGAAATAAGACCTTGCAGGGCTAGAGGCTGGGGGAGAGGAGACATGCATCTGTTTCTTCCTTCCCATGCTGACCAGGGTATTGTGCTTAGTTTTTATGACTTGTCAAAGGCAGAAAATGCTGGTAGAAACAATCTACAAAATGATTTTTACATAATTCTGGACTAATCCAGTGAATTATTTTCATTACTCAAATAAGCTTTCAAATTCTGTTTCTATCAAGGATAATATAAGTTTTTTTTTAATTTTTTTATCCTTGATTAAATTTGTAGAAGGTAAATAGTAAAGAGAAAGTTGTCTTTGAACTTAAATCATTCTCTGTTAATGTAAAATTGCCTCAAATCAAAAGCCAATGTTTGGGCAGCCAAAATGAATTACATATACTGGCTTGAAATCATGCTTTTGTATCTCACTTTGTTGACCAATTTTCCTGGACGTGCTGTTTTGCTTTGGATGCATCTTTAAAAAAAAAAAAAAAATCTTAAGAAAAGAAAAAAGAGCCACTCATGATGGCACATGCCTATAATCCCAGGGGCCCAGGAGGCAGGAGAATCTCAAGTTTGCAGCCAGCCTCAGTGATTTAGTGAGGCTCTAAGCAAAAAAAAAAAAAAAAAAAACACAAAACACAAAACAAGGCTGGGGAAGTGGCTCAGTGGTTGAGCACTTCTGGGTTCAATTTGAGAAAAGAAAAGAAACAAGAAAAAAAAACAGTCAAGCTTAATGAAAAAGGTTAAATGTGAGAACACAAATCTGCTGAGTTGCCTCATAGTCTTAAGAGTCATGTTCATTTCCTTGCACAAAACAATATTTATAGTAGGAGCTGCGTTTTTTTTTTTTTGGTAGGTGGACAACCACATAGGATGTGTACGTGTGTACATATATATATCTGTGTACAGTATATGTGTACAATATATATATATACATGGTTAACAGATCAGCGAGTTGTAGGGATCACACCCTTCAAGTCTGTAGGACGCGCAGCGTGGAGCCATGCACACGTGCCACTTAACTGATGGTGATGGTGGTGACAGGGATGCAATTGAGCACGCAGCAGAGAATAGAGCAGCACCGGAAAAGCCTCCCCTTCCCTGGCCCCTGTGCCACTCCTGAGAGCACCCCCTGCTGCTCCTGGATCTCTTGTCATTTTCTCCTCTGCCCCACTAGGGTGTTGCGCCCAACATACCTTTTCTAAAAGCTCCTGGTTTCTCTTAATGAAAAGTTGTTTATCTTCTACCCAGTGTGAATCCTGTTTGACAAAGAATATCGCGCAGTCAGCATTTCAGAGTGGCACGAAAGAGCACGTGTCCGCAAACCACTTGGCCAGAGCTGTCTTCTCTCTACCTGGTGCTTTTGCCTACCAACAGCTGGTAAGTGACACCCACCCCTGCCAGCTCCTTCTTCAAAGACATTGGGGCCAAAGTTGCCAGGAAGATTTCACCCCCTTTCCCTCTCACTGGCTACCTCTACCTTTTTCAGTCTGAATAATCCAGGACCAGCCTTCTGGGGACTCAGAAGTGACCACACAGGCAAAAAGTGAAAAGGGTCAGAATGCACACAGGCTAGATACATATGAATGGAAACATTAAAATGCAGAACCATAGATGTAGCATAGAGGCAAAGAATGCAGCTGAGGGTCGGGTGGGTCTTAGTCTTAGCAGCTTGTGAAAACTCTAGGCTATTTGTATGGGGTTCCTCTTCCTCTGGCCTCTTCTCTCTCACCCCACCTCATTCCCAGTTGTGGCTGGTTTCACACTCTGGCCAGCAAAACACCAGGGACAGAAATACAGAGTGAACATTCTGACACAATTTGAGAAAGGTCACTGTGGAGAGCCAAGGTGTGTTCTTGGTTTGGCCCATGCATGGAGTGAGCTGGAGGAGGGTCAGATTGAATTCCGCATCTGCAGAGGAGGTAGCAACCGCATGCCTACCTGCCCTTTCTGAGCCAGCGTTGCTTCCAGATCTTCGATTTTGGCTTTATACCTCAGCACCTCTGCTTGGAGCTGCTCTTGAGCCTGGTGAAAATGAAAATTCCAGAACTCAACAAGCAAAATGGCCAGTACCCCTACCAAAGAGACCCCCCTATGATATTTGTAATATATAAGCTTCTCCAAGGACACCCCCCCAACACCATAATTAAGGTTCTCTTCTCATCAGAAAGATTTTTACACAGGATATCAGTAATAACTTCTGCAGAGGACACTGTGCTTTGTAGGGTTAGGGCTAGGGTTAGGGTTGCAGGAAAAAAAAAAAATCATAAAACCTGTCTAGCCTAAAAATACGGGACAAAGAGTAACTGTTATATACCCACCTACTAACATGTCACCACCCCACTGAGTATAAATCTAAAAGAATTTCCAGACTCAGGGTCCAGAGATTTTTAGGTGATAGATACTCTGGACTGCTGCAGCTAGATAATTCTGCTTCCTAAAAATTGCTCAGGTGTCTAGCCTCTTCTATCCTACATCAATGTGACATTTTTCTTTCTCTCCTGTTCCTTCATGAGTTATTCAACAAACAACAAAGATGAGAGAGAAAAAAGAACTCTGGCCAGGCGTGGTAGTGCACACCTATAACCCCAGCAGCTTGGGTCGCTGAGGAGGGAGTTCAAAGCCTGCCTCAGCAACTTAGTGAGGCCCTAAGCAACTCAGTAAGATCCTGTCTCTAAATAAAATGTAAAAAAGGAATGGGCATGTGTTTTTTTTTTTTTTTTTTTTTTTTTTTTTTTTTTTTTTGTCCTCTAGGACAAAAGTAGGAAACATCTTTCTAAACTGCCTCCATGATTTAAATTCTGCTTAAAACCCTCTGTGGCTCCCTTTATCATCAGGTTAGTGTCCAAGCCCTTTAGCATGGCAATCAAAAAAAGCCCATGTTTTCCTACTCCTCCTCAGCATGGAGTCTACCCCTTACCTGCTGGTGACATTCTTGTTTCCTAAATCCTAGTTTCTAACTTGCCACTTCTGCATTTGAATGAGTTCTGTTTCTGGAAAGCCTTGGCCCATTTTGCATGTCCACATCTACCCATTCTTACAAAGACAACTTTGTACCTAAATCTAAATCCAAATCCTAATATTTTAACTACCCTTTCCTGTGTCAGTAACAATGCTCAGTAAATACTGATAGTGAAAAACACAAATATTACAGTTTTGAGGCAAATACATGATGGCATACAGGTATACCCCTTTCTAATGAAGGATTGCCTGTCTGTTCCAAGCCAAAGTTTCATTAAAAAAAAAAAAAATGCTTACTCCCTTATGTATTCAAATGTGTATATGTACGTGTATGCTACCATTTAACATATATAATTGTAATAGCCATCTTTCCTTCTAAACAACTGACAGCAGTTGCTACAGTACTCTCCAGTATATTGGCCGGGCGTAGTAGCGCACACCTGTAACCCCAGCAGCCTGGGTGGCTGAGGAGGGAGTTCAAAGCCTGCCTCAGCAACTTAGTGAGGCCCTAAGCAACTCAGTAAGATCCTGTCTCTAAATAAAATGTAAAAAAGGAATGGACATGTGGCTCCTTGGTTAAATGCCCCCAAGTTTAAAACCCGGCACAAAAAAAAAAAAAAAAAAAAAAAAAAAAAAAAATTCAGTATATTGTAGTCCCTTCAAAAACAAAATCACTGGATACAAACGCTCCCTCAGTCTATGAGGTAGGAATACTGTGATGACTATAACTTTGAAGTCAGAAGGCTAGGTTCATGTCTTTGTGACCTAAGGTAAATAATTTAACTTAAACTAGGTACATTTAACTTCTACTAAGTGATTTTTTTTCATAGAGTTTTTTAGGATTACATAGATGCATGTAGAGTACTCCACACAGTGTCTGTAACACAGTCAGCACTCAATAAATGTTAAATATCAGTAGCATGTTTTAATTTTTTTTCCTTTTTTCCTTACCCCACCCCTCCCTTCCTGCCTGCCTTTCTTCCTTCCTTCAAGATAGGCTTGTACGAGGTACTTATGATATAAGAGAAAGAACATTTGACCCAGGAAGATATGAGGTGGAGGGCTGGGGTTGTGGCTCAGAGGCAGAGCACTTGCCTAGCATGTGTAAGGCACTGGGTTTGATTCTCAGCACTGCATGTAAGTAAATAAATAAATAAAGGTCCATTGACAACTAAAGAGAGAGAGAGAGAGGAGTGATATCCCAGCTTTGCCATTTACCAGCTGTGTGAACTTGGGCAATTAAGTTAACCTTTCTGAGTCTTAAACTCCCTTTTTATAAAATAACTGCCTTAGGGAGCTCTCACTGGAATTAAGTGAGATAGAGTCTGTGAAAATTCTCGGTGAGCTGTCCAGTGTAATATTATGTAATTATTTACAAAGAAAAGAAACTAGCTGGCCAAAAAGATAAAAGTTATTTTTTTTCTTTGCAAGAAATTAAAACCAATATTGTCTAGCTTTGAAAATCAAAGTTTTCAGATGGCAAGAATGAGATACTACATACTCAACAAAAGCATCAATCTAGGTTGTTTTTAATGTCTTTAGATCCAAGGTGTATTGACAAAAAAATTAAAACAGTTCAAAAGCCTTGGAGGAGAGAAGGGTGCTACTGACTGACATTTTCCTGTTGCTGAGATCCATGATGCAACCTCTCCAACCTAATTCAGAGCGCTCTGGGCAGTGGAGCACCAACCTTGGCTTCTCGCTCAGCATCGATGATGCCTCCTGTCTGCTCCTGTAGCAGGGCATATGCTCTTTGGAGGGCCTGGTATTCTTTTGTCAATTGTCGAAATCGTAGCTCAGATTCTTCAGCTGCTAAACTCTTGAGGTTAAAATACAAACAAACAACAAAAAGGCCCAAAGTGATTGTGTTAATTCAGGTTCTGTGTTCCAGGTAAGCAATAACTAACATTCACCCACTGTTTATAGGGAAGGAAAGTTGTTTGATTTAACATTCTGTTTGATTTCATTTTTAATTCTCAAGTGTATATGTGGACAAAAGTACTGTAATACTCTCAAGACAGACATTGCAGAAATGTGTAAGAAACGAATTTTAAAAAGAAGCATTTACTCACTTGTTCATTTCTGATTATTACCCATTTATGATTGGATATCAGACAACTTAGATCCAAATGCAAATAAGTACATGGATTTTGGATCTAAATCAAAGTAAGATGATACTCAAAATTTTACTTCTTTTCAATAATTCATATCCATGACTTCTTTTGCAGATAAATTATTCTAAAAAAAACCCTGTTTATAGCTCAAGGTCCTAAACTTCAGGACTTACACAATCACTAGGGAGTTTTGTGAAAATTGAAGACTGGGGAATATTTACCCCTCAGATCCCAAGTCAAGGGATGTGTGTTTGGGTCCTGGATTCTTCACTGTAATGAAACCACCTAGATTGGTCTGTTGAGGGTGGATCAGAGAGCCTTAGATTCTATACAGAAAACCCCTGAGCTTCTTTGTGGGCTCACAATTTCCCTAGATGAAGGATGTTGGAGAGTAACTTTTATTTTGAAAGAAGTCTTCAACTTATAGAGCTGAATTGCAGAGCAGTTTCTAGAAGTTTCACATGACACAGATGATGTTACTTATCAAGAAGGAATAAGGCAAACTGTGGTCTCAGACATGGTCACTGTTATGAGATCACTTTGTGTGGGTCATAAAGGAGATGAAAAGTGATTTTTTTTCTTTCCCTTAAAGGAAAGATTTGGTGACAACATCACACAAGACTAGAGAAACAGAAGAGCTTACCTCATCGAGGTCATCGTCGGGAGTAGCTGGTGTTCGGTCTGTTCTGAAGGAGGCCATGGAAGATGTCTCTGAATCCATAGAGTCCTCATCATAGCCAATGAATGGGTCCAAAACAGGCCTCTAAGCAGAGGGAAAGCATGTGTTGACTGACACAACTACACATGGGAAAGCTGGCATGTCAAAACACCATGCCGACATACATGTGGATGAGCACGGGAGACATCCTGTAATGCTTCTTTGATGAGAGAAAAATATTAGGCAGAAGCACAACAGTAGCAATGAATATTTCTCCCATGTTATTTCATTTCTGACTTATTCAAAGGGTATTAATTAATATTATAGCCTCTTTTACATTACACTTTTTATCTTGAAGAGTTAATGTTATTTACTCTTTCTGGTATTTAAAATGTGCTCACAGGACTTTGAAAATCCAGGCATCTAAATGCTAACATTATGCAATATATAATGCCTTCTCTAACCTAATTTTACAGGTAAGAACATACAAAAAAACCATTTTTCTTAGGGTCAATAAAATATTCTTTAAAAAGTTAGGCATTTATGAAGAGGATCATCAGAACTTAAGTCTGGCCATCTAATTCCATATCCAAATCAAATGAGGCACTTAGTAAAAACAAACACTGAAACCAAACAAACTAAATAACAAGACTTCTGTGGGCACTAAGAGGCCATCCTGATACTGGTGGATTAAGAATGTCATTATCAATAAAATTTATTGTTCAAGTGAATAATGAAAATGAACTGATAGAATGAGCAGAAACTCTGATATTATCCAGAGGGAGACATCAAAGCATGTCTACATCTTGTGTGTTCTTGGATTGTAACTTTTCAATTTGTTAAGCAAGCCTTTCTACATTGAACTTAGTGGCTTCTCCATTCAGAGAAAGTCATATTAAAGCAAACACGTTTATTTTCAGACTCTGAGAAATGTCAAGAGAAGAAATTTCTTTCAGCAAATAAAGCTCCTGGTTTGCTGAGTTCAGGAACATCTGATTTATCACATTTTTGCAGGAATATTCCTTGGTAAGCTCACCTCTCTGGCTATTTGTGGCAAATGCCTGATAACCTAGTTTTCTTATTACCTTAATTGGCTTGGAACTTCTTCTATGCTTTCTCCTACGGATGAGCTTTTCTCTGTCCTGTAAAACAGATAAGGATTTTGAGAACTAGTTGGTATATCCATACAGGTTTTTTTTTTTTTTTTGGAAAAAACAAATTGGTTTTTCCCTTGAGGCCTTACAAATTTTTCTTCAAAATAAGATTTTTTTAAGAGAGAGAGAGAGAGAGAGAGAGAGAGAGAGAGAGAATTTTTTAATATTTATTTTTTAATTTTTGGCGGACACAACGTCTTTGTTTGTATGTGGTGCTGAAGACCGAACCCGGGCCGCATGCATGCCAGGCGAGCGCGCTACCGCTTGAGCCACATCCCCAGCCCCTCAAAATAAGATTTTTGTTTGGAAAATTTTGGCAACTTTTGGTTTTGAGGCCTCACCATCAGGAAGTGTACTGTGTTCCTAATCAGAATCCCTCGGTTTTATTTATACTTAAAAATCGAACAGTTTTATATATCATTACTTATGTATCCACAAAGCACAGTTCTTCTATTTTCCCAGACCCCAGATTACTTTAGATTTGTGTTTAGAAAGTAGCATTTCACAATAAAATGAACCTTTATTCTTTTATTTTTTTCATTTGTAAAGTACAGAAAGCTATCTTTTGGCTATTTGTGGAAACTTGTTTGGATCCTAGTTCACTGGATTTATTCAGTGTTTCTGTTTTGTTTTATTTTTATTTATTTATTTTTATGGGGGAATTATATTATCTTTTTTTTTTATTTGTTTTTGCTATGAATGGAGATACTGAGGGAATTTGGGGATTACTTATTAAGCACTCTGTGTATTTACTGCACAAGTTTAAAGCAGATGTTCTGATCAACATGCCTAAATAGCCCAGAATTCTTATGAAACTTATAGCTTAAATCCAGGATTTTTAAAGTGAGGTAAATTCCTGGACTTGTGAAAATGTGATATTTATGAGTTATTACATTGTGGAAATGATGTGAGGAACCCAGAGCTTCATACCACATTTGAAAAGTAATGTGTTTTAAGCAAATGGTATTTAGGCTTTTTGATTTTTTGTCTTTACAAGTTAAAAACATTTTGACCTTGACACTTCACTGTAGTTGAGACTATTTTTTTTTTTTTTGGTAATGGGGATTGAACCCAGGGTTGCTTAACTAACCACTCAGCCACATCTCCAGGCTTTTTTTTTTTTTTAATGTTTTATTTTGAGACAGGGTCTTCCTAAGTCCTTAGGGCCTTGCTAAGTTGCTGAGGTTGGTCTCAAACTTGCCATCCTCCTGCCTTAGCCTCCTGAGTCACTGGGATTACAGGCATGCATCACTGCACCTAGCTGTAGTGATGTAGAGACTTTTGAAATGTACATGCATTACAATACTTAGATAACCCTCCTAATTAGTGTATGCATTACAGCATATAGTCAACATAGAAGTTGTTTGAAGGATAAACAATAAATAATTTACAACCAAAGTCATAAGTTTCCCTCTCTTAATGACAGTGAACTATCTTGCTCAACCACTTGGCAGACTATTGCCTAACCCCTGTCTCTAGTTTTTCAAGTGTGGGGCTTGGTTGATCCTGAAGTGCAAGGAATCAAGGATATCATTCTTAGAATAAAGGCAGAGAGGCAAAGAAGAGAACTCAAAGGTTTCCAAGGTCTCAGCCCTTGTTGCAGGTAACACAAACCTCAGCCAGATGTGATCAGTAGCAGTAATTGTCCTACCTATACAGCAGGGACTGAAACATGGTCAGAAAATTTGGACTGGAATTCCAGTTCTGTCATGTAATTATGTTGTTGTTTATTCAGAAAATAATTACTAAATGGCATCTGTGTTAGACACTGATTCAGTGTTGGGTAGCAAGAGATATATGGTCTTGTTACTATAAGCAAAATATTTAGTCTCAGGATTCTAATACTGGAAGACAATTGTAAGACACACACTCACCCTGCAAACTTACATAACAATTCATTTCAAGGTTCTTTTAAAGTGCTTTGCAGCTATTATTTATGCTACCAAATTGGTTAACAAAGGATTATAAATGAAAAGGTCTAAAGCAGTTTAACAATATAAAATATCTCTGAAATAGAGTCTCCTAAACATAATTATATACTGAACATGTAAACTTGGGCCTCTGGGGTTAATCCAAAATCATTAAGTACTTCCAGTGTATGTTGATTTGTTGGCTATGTGTTATGGTTTAGATATGAGATATCCCTCAAAAGGTCATGTATAAGACAATGCAAGAAAGTTTAGAGGTGAAATGATTAGGTTATGAGAACTTTAATATAATCAGTGCATCACTCCACTAATGTGGATTAACTGGGTGATAAGTGTAGATAGTTGGGGAATGGCTGGATGAAGTGGGTCACTGGGTGCATGTCTTTGGGGTTTATATTTTGTCCCCGATGAGTGGAGCTCTCTCTGCTTCCTGATTGTCAAGACCTAGGCTTTCCTCCTCCACGCCCCTCTGCCATGATGTTCTGCCTCACTTTGGGTCAAGAGCAATGGAGTCTGTGGACTGAGACCTCTGAATCTGTGAGCCAAATAAACTTTTCCTCCTCTAATTGTTCTTTTCAGTTTTTTTCATCACAGTGATAAAAAGCTGACAACACACTACTTGTCCTTGGGATCAGTGTAGAGTTTACAGATTGATCCAGAACCTACCCTTGTGAGCTCGTCAATAATGTTCTGCTGTTCAATAACCTGAAGTTTTAGAAACTCTGTCTCTTGTTCTTCGTTAGCTTGGTCGAGGTCATTCAGAGATTTTAATTTCTTCAAAGGTGGGTGCGATGTTATTTTTTCTCTCTGGATTTGAAAAGAAGAGATACACGTGGAAACTTTAAAAAATGCCAAAGTTCAGTCATTACTACAAAACATGGGCAGGAAGTTTATGAGGCTCCACCTAAACATTTTCCAGTTAGAATGTGTGTTTCTACACACACCAACTCAAAACCTCAAGTATGTTTAAGTCATTGGGGGATTTTCTGGAGACCTCTATAGATGTGTTGGAAATCTGTTAAGGAGTGCATTACCATATCACCTGTCCACACCTAATGCCAGTGACGGTTTCTATTTTCCAACTACTATGCCAGTTCTTAGAGGTGTCCCTCTGTACAGTTCTGTAAAGGGTACATTGGAAGAAGGTTTCTATGGTAGAGGAAACACACTGAAGCTTTGCTTTTGGAGAGTGTGCAGACTCCTGGAAGCACTCCTCCAGTTCTGTAAATTTAGAAACCCCATAAAATTCTGAGGCAGCAGGCTTCCCTTGCTTTCCTCCTTAAAGCTTCCTTGCTTACATAAGGAAAAACCCAAATAGCAAGATACTTCAAAAATAAGCAGAAAGAAAACAGTAAGTCAGGCTATTACAAAGAAGGAAGGAATATAGGGAAGGAAACTTGAGTTCTGCTGAGCCTGCAGTACGCACCATTTCTGAATTTTCCTTGGTGACGGCTTTTAGTTTCTCCTCCATGCGTTGCAAAGACACCATCAGCTCATCATTTCTCTTGGCGAGGCACTTGTTCCTTTCCAGGAGAGGTTTACATTGCTTTTCCGTTTCCCGCACACGTTTTAACTAGGAAGGAACATCAGAATTTGTCTCGGTTTGGAGAGGGGAGTCAATTGATGGGAGAGAAAGTACCTTCAGAGTCCCTTTGTCTGCTTCACTGACATTCCAATCCTCCATTTAACAGGTCCGCTTCTTTGTTTCCAGATTCCTCTAAGGCTTTTCATCACTTTCTTTAAAACCCTGTATCTCTATTACCCTAAAGGAGGTGCTGCAGAGATAATGCTTTTGGAAACACTCAAGAGTAAGAGCTCTCTTTAGCTACTCCTGCCTGTTTACCCCATTATGCTCAGCCCCCTTCCCTGGAACTGGGATGGCCTCTCATTGTCTCACAGTGACAAAGCAGCTCATCCAGATCATAGGGTCACCAAGTAATGTAAGCACGTCCTGAATCCAAGCCTGCTCGTCTCCAAAAGTTCATCCATTTCCTCAGAGATTTTGCTGAGATCTCTTGATTCATATTAAAGCTATTTATTTTTAAAGAAGAGATATATTGAACAAAAACTGCATTGATGTTTCTGTTAAGAATACAATTTTCACCAAGTCTTGGCAAAGTATGATTTTATTGTTATCCATGCATAACCAAAGGTGACTCTCATTTTCCCAGTTCTAAGGCAGGGGGTTTTCTACCTCAGCACCTTTGACATTGTTGGAGAAAGGTTTTTGTTGTAGAAGTTGTTCTATGTTCTATGCTATGCTTAGCAGCATTTCTTGCTCTCTGCCCATTAGATGTCAGTAACACCCTGCCATTTGTGATAACCAAATGTAAATGCTGCTCAAATTGCTTCTGTAATTTAGAACCACTGACCTAAACTTTTGAATGTTGTCTTGAGGTAAATGTAAACGGTCCCTGTTTTACTCTCAAAACTCTCCTGTTTGGAGATGTATTTTATGACTAGTCTACTTATATATTATGGGTTTCCATGTTAAGTTTCTCATGATCAGTATATTCTTTGCATAGTAGTGATTCTGAACATGAAAAGTTATTAGGGAAGGAGTGACCAACACAAGGAAAGGGAAGGGTTATCAGAAACATCTGAGAAGATTTTTTAAAGTTACTCCTGCCATCGAGAGTCTGTGGTTTGGGGAGGTGCTGAGGTAGGGGGAATGGCTGGATGAATATTTGAAAATGTTGCCTTGGAGATTCTTAAACAGCACCTTTCCTACTTCATTCTAATTTCCATTTGAAAACTTCCATTTTATAAGGAAGTCCAGATATGTATTGATTTCCATAAATAACCTGACATAATTCTCAGTTCTTGAGCTTCAGTGCCTGAATCATTAGTAGTAAATATTGAAAACACATATGGACAAATAAATTCTTCTACTAGGTTCATTATTTTGATCTTTATCTCTTTTCTGGAGGCCAATGACATGAGTTTTAAATATCTAAGTTTACTTACTTTTACTATTCACAGAAAACATAGATAAGCACAAAGAGAGGGAAATCTCTATAATTTTAACAAAACATAGACCAATAATCAGTTCCGTGGTGCCCCCACAAAATGTTCCTTTTAAAAAAATATATCTTAAATGTAACAACAAAATATTGAAAGTAAAGTATATACATATGTGTTTGTGTATATATTTATGTATATACACTTACAGATTCATGAAAACACTAAAAGAAAAAAATGTGATTCCGTTAAATTAACAATAGATTTTAAGTCAAGTCCTAGAGAAAAGAAAGTATTTCATAATGATAAAAGGGTAGTATGCCAAAACATGCAATGAATTCTAATTTATATGCATCTAGTAATATAACTTCAGATATATGTAAAGCAAATTGATAGAGTGAAGCAGATAGATAAAACTTTTGGGAAAGCAGGCAGGCAAAAATATCAGCAAGGTTACCAAAAATTTTAAATAGACTTAACAAACTTGAATCAAACTATAACTAATAATCATAGAGTATATCTTCTTTGCATGTGAACATGAAACATTTCTAAAATTGACCATATGCTCAGTCCACAAAGCCAATCTCTACAAATTCCAAAAGAAGCCTTCCAAGGGAGAAATCTATAATCAAAGGATAACTAAAAAATCTCCAAATTTTTGGAAATTAAGCCATATACTTCTAAGTAGCCATGGAGCAAAGAAGAAATCACACGTGATTAGAAAAGATTTTGAGTAAAATAGCAGTGCATTATGACACTTCAACACTTGGGAGATGAGGCTAAAAATCAGACTTGGAAAAACAATTATAGCCTAAAATGCATGTATTTTTTAAAACTTGAAAGGCTGAAAATAACTCCTCTATATGTACAACTCCATTAAAAATGTAAATAGTAAGCCACAGAGCAGGATATTTTAAATGCAATATCCCACAAATGATTTTTTTCTCATCATTTTAGCCTTAATATTAATAAGAAAATTAGAGGCAGTACAACAGAAACTAAGCAAAAGACTAAGGGCAAAACCTGAAGGGAATCCAAAAGACTGGGAGATGTTTGCAAGGTTACCCAACCTCATTGATAATGATAAAAGTAAAAATTAAAATAAAAATACAGATATACCTCATGGGCACCGAAATGGCTAAAATTAACAATTATCTTTGCATTTTTGCACATATGTGGAGAAACTGAAACCCCCGTACATTGTTGATGGAGATGTATACAGTTAAAAAAAACTTTAGGAAACTGCAATTACCGCTGAGGCTGCCTATATGCTACTCTAGGATACTCTAGTAGTAATGGACATGTTTTTCACCATGTAGCAACACCATTCTTAACAGCTTAAAAGTGTTGTGGAACAAGGCACAAATAGCCCTTAACCATACAATGAATAAGTACTTTATGATATTTTAATTGAATAGTATAATGTAAAGAAAGTGTCCTCCATAGCAATGGATGAATATCACACACACATAAAAAGCTGAGCAAAAGAAGTCAGACACAAAAGAGTATAAATTGTATGATTCCTTTTACAAAAAAAAAAAAAAAATGGTGATGTTTATGGGAATAGAAGGCAAAAACGGTGGTCATCTTTAGAAGGATGGCGAATGGGAGGGGTCCCAAGAGAGGATTTGAGAGCTGGTAATCTACTCATTCATCTGGGTGGTGGTTAGGTGGATTGGGTGTGCCACTATGCAAGTATTTATTGAACTGTACCTTTGTTATATGCTCACTTTTTTATTATGTTACATTGCTAAAACATAATACCTATTTCCAAGATATAGGGCTTAACTGAGGACAACTCACCAATTCATTTCGTTCATCTCCAAGCAAAGTGTTCCTATCTTCTAATTTTCTTATAGTGGCGTTTAACTCCGCTATTCTCTTTTGATTTCTTCGCAAATCCTATACGTGAAAATTAAAATGGGTATTTCATCTTTAATTATTTTCACAAAGTTTTGGAATGCATTTATTAAAGTAATAGGCTGACTTTTCCTTATCTACTTTATGAAATAACACCAAAATTTCTCTTGTTCAGAGAAGAGTAAATATTTACCCTTTTCTAACTCCCAGTATTCACCACTTGGGTTGAAGATCAAGCTGGGTGGAAATGGTAAATGAATTCTACATGGCAGACACTCAGGGGTCCAGAATCAAGGCAGGGGCTATGGCAGAGTTTTGGATCAATGTATCGGAGCTCTGTGCTGTGAGACCAAGGTCATGTGGTGATTACATGAGGTTCAAGGAGCATCCCTCATGTCAGGGCTGCACATTGCTTTCTACTACGAATTAGACAACCATCCTGCTCTTACACTTCGCCACAGAGAGGACAGATTAGGAGGTAGGTATGGGCTTTGTAAATTCCTTCATACTCCTGGAGAAAAAGATCAGACTGAAGAAAGGTACTTTTCCTTTCGGTATAAAAGGCAGTAGTTTATAGGGTAGTCTACTCTAAAATATTTTGCCCAGTGTAACTGGCTTTCCCATGGGTAGAATTGCTATGAATCACCTTACACAGCAGTCATGACTTAATTCTGTACTAGAGCCCATAGGCTGTCATTATCATTATCATATGCTGGCAATTCTAATATCATTTAAGAGTGCTGTTGACAGAACAGTTTCACAACCATTATACCCCTAGATTTACAATATCCTAGGGGATTCAGCAGGACAGGTAAACTTCATGGAAGCATAGCTTGTTCAAGGTCTTATGGCTTATGTCTGCAGATTAATAGCAAATTTGTATTGGATGTTAACTGCATGCCAGATACTGTGCTCAACATTTCATATACCATTTCTTCTGATCCTTTGAACTGCCTTGTGGGATACCAGTATAGCCTCTACTTTACCAATGAGGAGATTCTGTACAGTGAAGTGGTTTGCCTAAGGTTATTCTGTTAATGTCAGATCCAGAATTTGAACCAAGGAGTCTGATTCTAGGGCTCATTCTCTGACAATTATGCTACAGTGTAGGTAAGTGTCAGTGATAGAACTAAAACATACATCTGCTACATCCTAGATCGGTATGCTTTCTACCACCTACAAGGCTATATATATATCCTGAAAACCAATTCATTAATTATTCATTACTTTGTTCTAAGTAGTACTTTGGAACTCATCTCTATTCCTAAATAATACATTTTCATCTTTTTAGCAGCTAAATAATTTGAAAGGTAATAGCCAACTACATACAAGCTGACTTCTCTTGCCGTACTTCCCAAAATAATTTCTTGTATAAAATGATGAAAATCCAGGTAAATAAATGGCAAGTTCAATCAAACTAGAAGCTTTCACACAATGATTATAAATGGTTTAGTCTTTTTACAGATATGCGTTTTGATCTTTGTAGATTATAACTGTCTTTACCAATTTCTAACCCAACTGTTCACACAAGGGAAAATTACCAGTCTTGGCAAGAGGCAAAATATTTTCATTTAATTTATGATTCTTATAATCGACTTAAGTTTGCACAGGCATTGTTTGGCTAGAAGCAGTCTATGAAGAGATCTATAATTCTCATGTGATCTGCTAATGCAGTGCAGACCACTTTGTTGTCTATGAATTTAGAAAACCTTGTTCCCAAGATATTAGCCGGTATTATAGTAGGAGATCAAATTGATTTCTGGGCAGTAAACAGGAAAAGAGCTTAAGTGAAAGGTAAAACTTGGGGGCTAAATAAAAGATGACTCCTGAGTTCCCAACCCCAACTTGAGTGGACTTACAGGACTGCTGCAGTGTTCGGAGCCGTCTCCTGCCCTTCCTGGGATTTCCCGTTTGGGACTGCTCATGTTGCACTCAGCCTCCTTAACCAGAAAGAGCTGTTCATCCAACGCTTCCTTCTGCAGTTGGAGTTTCTGTACATAGCCTGTCTGGGTCTCCAGTTCCTTTTCCAGGGAAAAGATGATCCTGTCCTTGGCTTTGATTTCATCCATCTGAATGAAATGAGACCCAGGACATTTTAACAATGCTGTAAAGAAATGCATTTTTCAATGGTAGGAGTTTAACTTATTTCTTCTGATTTATTCAGGGGGAAAAATGAATATGACAAGTGTATTGAACACATGAATATGATGGGGCAACAATGTGTAATAAAGGGTCGTCCTAGTTTAATTAGGTGGCAAGTAGAGCAGTTTTTCCTTTCTAGTATATTCTGTACAGATGTTCTCATTCAATGTATTGTTTGAAATGGTCTGGGTTGGTTAGATATGGAAAGGAAAGGCTAACTTGAGAATGGGGTCATTAATGTTAATAAAGACGAATACTGAATATTCTACTACAATGTTTCCCAGGCAATTTTTATGTTGCCTTCTCTTCAGGGGAATGCACATTTGAGTTCAATCCAAATAGCAAATATCAGCTGGTCATTTGTAACTGCAGACTTCTCAGTGGCCTAATGATCTTTCAAGACTAAGATGTTTGCATTTGGCTGGCCACTTTGAAGGAGGGTCCTCTCAGTGGTTCATGTTATATGGTTCTTTCCAATTCCCATCCCTATTTCAGAGCAGGCTGTACTTGGCAAAGTTGTTTTTTTTTTTGCCATTATTGTCAGAAAATCATGGTTGGGACTAGAACTGGAATGGAAAATACCTGGTAATAGTCACTATTTCTCCTCCTGCATCTGTGGGACATATTTATTGATCTCAATACTCATTTGTGCTAGGCTTGGGTATGGCCTCAGAAGTATTTCTCAACTAAAGGGCACACACATTCAATAACAATTGACCAGACTTCCATCGGACTGAAATCTTTTTGCTGTCCCTGGATGAGAGCTAATGAAATAAATGTTGGCAAACAATTTTTGAAGAGACAATAGCTATTGGTGAAAAGTTTCTCTCTGTTTTATTACATTATATGTAAATATTTGAAATATAACTGGGAAAAGATTTAACACAAACATCATTCTGTTTTTCTCTTCCTAAAATGTCACCTTATATTTAACAAATCACTTTCTTTGTATGCTCTTTAGACTAGAGGAAAAAAGAGAAAAGCATTTGGGATAGAAATTGTTAAACATAGTAAAGTGTTTTCCACACAGAAATGCCAGTAAACAATTGCTTCTAAGTCACACGTTTTAGGTCCATTTTGGGAGGGGGGGGGGGGCTAAGGTATGTAGGATCTACAACATCATGATAACATGGTAAGTAATCAGGTACTGCTCTGATAAAGAGAGAAAATATTAGTTTTTATTGTCATGCACCAGACTCTCGGCCCCAGTATTATTTTTAACTCACGCAGTCATTCGTCAAGGTCACCACAGGTAATGTTCGTCATGGTTAAAACACAGCTGCAGATGGGTGTCTTCTGAATTCCGACACACTCTGCCTAACCCAGCTTGCTGGGGGAATCATCCCATCAGTGCCCAAATAGTCACCACCATCATCGAAGCTGAGATTTACTGATCTTTTACCATATTTGAAGCACAATAGTCAAAACGTTATAATCCTATCCAGTGGGTTTTGTTATTACCCCTTTACAGATGATGGACTGAGAACCTGAAAGGTGAAATCTTGGTCATAGGCAGCTGGCTAGGAAGTAGGGAAGCCTGGTTTTCAATTCAATCTTCTGATTCTAGAGCCCATTCTGTCAGGCCCTAGACTATACTGGCCCCAAGATGGTTCTCTGTAGCTGGCACTGAGGAGGCTCTCCATTACTGTGGTGGTTGGAATGGACTCTGATCTCCAAATACTGAAAATAAAGCCAAGCTCTAGCTCTCAGATAAAAAGGTGTATGCACCAAATTCTTAGATAAGTTTTTCTAGACAGAACAGCTTCCATTTATGTCCCTTCCAGTTCCAAAAATGGAGCTGGGGTGTGGGTAGGGATAGGTAAGAAGAAGGAAGAAATGAAGACGAATGCATGTGTATTATTAAAGGTTTCCTTTGGTATTTTGTTTGCACTCAGTTTTTGGACCACTCTTCAGGTGGTCTAAATTTTACATTGTTATTAAGGGGGATTTCTTGTCTGCTTCAGCAGTACCTTAGTAAGGAAGCCATGGAAGAAATTTATGGCCAGGCACAGGGGCACACACCTGTAATCCCAGCTACTTGGGAGGATGAGATAAGAGGATCTCAAATTCAAGGCCAGCCCAGGCAACTAAGCAAGACCCCATCTCAAAAATAAAAAATAAGAAAGGGTTGCAGATGTATCTGTGGATGTAAGAGTCTATCACCACACTGATTCTTAGTATCACCATAAATTAAATAAATAAACAGATAAATAATCACAGATAAACAAACACATGTACTTGTACATTTTACATTGAAACCCATTAACAAAAATATTTACTGCAGAGCTTTCTTTTTCATTTACCTATCTGCCAACTCCAGCTTTCACAGTTTTGATTCTTTATTCATCAGCCATTGTCACTTGCAAAACCAAAGACAGGGCAGGAACCAATATTTCTGCACTGTGTTTGGTTTTTATTGTAAAAACCATGGCGTAGAATGAATTGCAGATATAAAAATTCAGATGGTGTGGCAACAGGAATATTTTACAGTCATACTATATTACATTACAAAGAAAATCACACATTTAGCTATTTAAAAATGTTCTATGGTAACCACTATTACCTTAAAATTTAAATACTAGGTATAGCCAAAGAACATTATTAGAATTCTTAGAAAACAATTGCTTAGAATTGGCAGACGCAGGAAGGAAAGTATAGTTGTTGTTGTTTTTTTTTTTTTATTCTAAGAAAATACTATTTTTAGAGAAGCATAAAGTACATTCTAATAGGTGATTGTTAATTTAATAAGATTAACTAAGATACAACTAATACTAAACATCTAAGTGTAGATGAACATAAATGTTGTTTCTAAAATAACTAAAATGGCCAATGTAGGGCATTTTAGCTTTTAGATGATGGTTACATTTGTATTTTTTTTTAATTAGTTAATTTATTTATTTTTAGTATGGTGAAAGATCTGTGTGCTTTGGGGTTATACAAGTTAAAAGGAAAGATCCAAACTGCAGGGGCTGAGGTAAATCTTGAATATTGCAAATAGCTAACCAGCTACTTAGGAATAACATCCAATGAAGAAATTATAATGATTCTTATTTTGAATGACCCCTGTTTATTTTGAGAAAAGATCAATTTTCAAAATGATTAAAGATTTTATAGCTCTGTCTCTTGTTTTCAGACATGGTTCATGGAAAAAAAGATTGGTGAATCACTTAGGATGTTCCAGTGGCTACCATTTGCAGACATCTTGAAAAATTACAGAACCATCTCCTGTGCCCTGTAAAAATCCCAGTGAGGTTTTATAAATGCAAAGTCCATAAAAACATGTAAACATCGGAAGAGTTCATAATCTAGAATATTTTTTTACAGATGTCAATCAAAGAAAACCATGATCGTGGAACAGATACTCTCTAAAAATGTAGGACTAGGAAGAGCCAATTAATAAGAGAAGGGTGATTCCAAATTCTCTTACGTTTTATAATTTCTTTTGGGCCTGGGCACATCCATCTGTTTATCTCGCTACCTGAATACCTGTTGACCTATCTTGCATTTTGAATGGAGCACTGGACAATAATTAGGCATTGTATACCATCCACTGACCAGGAAACACCTGAAAAAGCAAGTCCCACGGAGCTCTGAGCCTAGAAAGAGAAGGTTTCTGCACCGCATGGTCTGATGGGATTACTAACCAGCCTCCGAATATCCCGCTCCGACTCCCACTTGATCTTGGAGATGGCTTCTTGGTGGGACTGATGCTCACTCCTGAGGTCCCCAGCCTTGATTTTATCCGCTTGGATCATATTGCTCAGAGCCTCGTCCACCTGCTTCTTGGCCGTTTTCAGGTCCGCAATTTCCTGTAAGAGCTTAAGGCGCTCTGCGTCAAACAGTTTCCGGGCCTCCTCCCGGGCCTCAATGGTGAGCGCTGTCCTTACTTTGTCACTGCTGCCATCCCGGAGAGCACACAGAGCCGACTTGAGCCTCTGGATCTCTCCGTCCCGCACCTTCACTGTCCTTGACATTTCTTGCTCGTGTTGCTTGATGAGATTCTCCCTCACGGCCTGCAGCTCCTTCATCTTCTCCTCATGGAGCTTGGCTTTGAGTTCTGTGACCAGGACTGTGTGCTTGCGCTGCTCCAGCTCACGAATCCTCTTTGCTTCTTGGGTCTTCTCTCTTTCAAGCTTTGATACCTAAAGGCAGAGAGGCAAAAGGATGAAAAGAAATAAGCCTCAAAGAAAAGGTGTGCGCCCAAGCAGGATTTATAGTTTATGCCGCTGTGATCACTTGATTCCTCGTCTCTTTTCATATTCCAGGCCAGCCTGTGCTTAGAGGGGAGGGAATCAGGAGCCTTAGAGCTAGGAATGCAGGGTGTAAAAGGAGGAAATACCCAAGACGGTTTATGGGACTTTGTTCAGACAAATATTTGAAGTTCTGCAGGCCGTACTATCCAACATGTCACCTGCAGACAAGAAGGAAGGTATCATCCAGAAGCTGGCAGGAAACATAGAATCCTGGGCTCCATTCTAGACCTATGAATTAGAATGTGCAATTTAATAAATGCTCAGGCAATTGGAATATACATTAAAATTAATGTATAATGCTCCAATGGGTTTCCCCTGAAAGGAGAAGAGTTTAATACCGAGCAGCTGGAGACCTTTTTAGATTCTACAACCCTCATTGGATCCAAACTGGCATCTCCAGATAGCTCATAGATTGATACTGTGATTAGGCTAATACATTGGTGAATAAGATGATATTATGAAATGTTCTCTTTCCTCCTTTTTGGGTGGAACAGAATATGCTACTGCTAATGGGGAAGGTGAAAAATAGTTGATAATGGCCTTAACCTTATCTGTCTTGGTACAGCAACCTAGCTCCTTTCCTAAGCTCTGTGCACATGCACATATGGAAACACAAGCCAACCAACAAACTAACAAAATGAAAATACTGCAGTTTGTAGAGTCCTCTCTCGGTCTCAGCATTCAAGCACACTACATCCACTTGTGGAGAAGGATGCCTCTTTACATCCTTCTCCACTATTAGTAGAATCCCTGTCCTGTGCTGTCCCCAAACCAACAGACCAGGTAGCTTGAAATATTCCTTCTAACCACCTTACCTCCTAAGAATTCTGGCTAAGATGATATTCTGTGTTTTGTTACATTTCCAGTAACAATGGAGGACTCCTAGTAGATGAGCAATGACACTCGCTACCTTAATTTGGCTGAGTAAGTCTCTGATTGAGGATGTCAGGATTTGGCATTAGTAGCTCGAAAAAGCCTCTCAGTGACCCTGTTTTGTGTCCTCCTTCCCTGACTTCATCTCTGCTGCCTGCCTCTGTCTTCTCCATCTCTATCACCACATGCACCCACCCACCCACCCACCCACACACACTTAGAATAACTTGGAAGAGAAGAAAATCCCAGGAGTATTACCTAGCTGAGTGATATTGAGTCTCTGCCATTTGTCAAACTGTAAGATCTCACAAAATAGTTGGAAGCCTTTCTGACTATAATTTTTTTTTTTTTAAGATTCAAAGTCTATTTAAATCATGGTAATTATTAAGTATCTGAGATTTTATTTACCTCAATAGCTTACCTACCTTTATCTATAAGAGTATATTCTAGGTCCACATAGCATTTTATGAATACTTCATTTTTAAAGGCACAGTGATTATTCTCAGGATGGTTATTCTAAAAGAGCTTGGAACCCAAGGGGACTTGGTGAAATAAGTAGTCAGGCATCTTTAACTCACCTTCATCCTACTCTGCTCCAGCTCAGGTCTAAGGCCCCTTCCTAGATGCCTGTTCTCTTGAATGCTCTACAGCTGGTTGTCCAGGGTGGTGGCCATTAGATGCACTGAGCACTTGAAATGCTGCAAGTTTGAGTTGAGATTTGCTCTGATATACTCAGGATTTTGAAGACTTATGGTAAGGTAAGGAATGTGAAATTTCTTGTTAATCATTTTTATAGTAATTATAAGTTAAAAATGCAATATTTTGAATAGAGTGAATGGAAGAACATATCTTCCAGACGAGGATGGGCCAAATAATAGCCATGGTCCAATACATCCTGCTTCTTGCTTTTATGAATAAAGTTTTATTGGAACACAGCTTGTCCATTCATTTACATATTGCCTAAGGCTGCTTATATTGTACAGTTTAGTTGAGCAGTTTTACAGATACTCTGTGTCTAAACTCTAAAATATTTACTACGTTTCCCCTTACAGGAAAATTTTGCTAATCCCTATTCTAGAAAATGCATCTTTATAGAAAAAGGGTCTTATTTTTAATAGATATAGAAACTCAGTTTTTCTTCCATATAAGACATTGGAAAGACACTTTATCTCAAGTGATGAAAACTTAGTTCTTTCCAATTTCAGCAGGATGTACTTATGTTAGGTGTTTGGCACAGTGTCACAACCACAAGAGCTATCAGGTAATAAGTTACAATGGGAAGTTCTAACAATTCTTCCTAGAACAATGAAAAACTGTAGTAAAAATGGAAAAAGGATAAGAAATTCTGGATCTACATTTCTCTTTTACCATCTGCTATCTCTAAGAAACTTACTTGGAAAATTCCTGAAATGGTTGTTTCTAGGGTTAAATTTGAAAACACATGGGAAAAAAACTTGTCCTGTAAAGTACTATGACATATAAGGTAATATTATCATTAGCTATGATAGAAGACACCCATATAAAGTTATTTATAATTTAATTATAAATAAATAAAATTAATTATTATTAATTCTCTTCAGGTATATGAGACAGTGTCTCCCTGTGATTTTGTCATTTCTTTCAAATTATAAACATTAACCTTTTATTTGTGTAGATAGGAGGTGAGATGAACAAAAAGAAAAATGTGAAAATACAGATGCGGGGAAAATACATTCCAACCTGAAGTCAAAACCAAATATAAAAAAAGCACTTCCCTTCCTGCCTATCAATTAAAATAACCCATAAAATCAAAGTTCAAAGGAATACAGTAATATTTAACATTTTTAAATGTCCACTTATTTTAGTTGTCAGGGAACCGGCCTTTGTCCAAGCTGCCTCACCTGTCAGCCTCAGTTTCTCATTTGTAAATTAATATTGGTGATATCATTCTCAGGTGGTTGTGGTGGGGACTCAGTTAAACAATATATCAAAAATCCTTTGGAAAGCCTGCAGCATATAGGAGATTCATGACCATTAATATATGGTAGATACTATAGTGCTGATTTTGATAAATACTGCTGCATATAATAATATACTATCATACAATGTTATATTAATACTACCAACAAAAACATAAGGACCTATATTATTGTGATAAGACTGACATTACTATATAATGTTATGAAGACCATAACTGCTTTCCAAACAGAAAGAGAAGTTCACAGGTGAAACTGGGTTTCCTCTGTACTGAGTTTGCTGGCACTGGTGGTATGGACCCTTAGCTTGGAAGACACCTGCAAGAGGTGTAGGCACAAATTGTGGGGTGGAGGGCGGGCCAGGGCAAGGTTGGAGGGAGCTGTGAACAGGTCATTGAAGGATGAGTTTTCACATCCCTTCCACCCTGGAGTCCTATGGGGAAAAATGATCTTTAGGAAGCATTAATCCTACTAGGGAAAGGTTAAACGATGACAGAAGGAAGAGAATTCATGGCCACCTTACACAGGCCGCACGTTGTATTTTTATCTTCTGTCCTCATTCTAGTCTGGCCTTTGAAAAACGCCAGGTAAATTCTGCTGAGGTAAAGATGGTGATGGTGTGAACTTTAATGTGATCACAGAACTAGGATTAGCAGCTGGATCCCAGTCAAAGGGAAGGTAAGGGCCAAGAGGTTATCAAAGCAGAACAAGCTTACAGAGGCTTCCACTTGGGTTATCTGCATTGGATGTTCCTGGAATGCTAAACTCTCAGTCAGCTGGTGAGGATTTGCTTTCTTTTTCTTTTTTTCCTCATTCCTTTTATTTTTTTTTAACTTATTGGTGCATTATATTTATACATAACTGTGGCATTCATTGTGTATGTAACATAATTAATACATGCATATAAAACACATTTTGATCAATCTCATACCCTAGTACCTTGCCTTTTCTTTCCCTCCCCCCTCTCCTGATCCAGTTGGTTCTACTCTACTGATCTCCCTTCTATTATTATTAGTACTATTATTATTATTATTTTGTTAGTGATTATAATTATATATGTGTATGTGTGTGTGTGTATATATATATATGTATGTATATGTGTATATATATATATATATATATATACAATTTATTGTGGTATATTCATGTATGGACATAGACTACTTTGGTAGATTTCATTTCCCAGTACTTCCCCATGCTCGCTCCTCCTTCCCTCTCCATCTGCTTCCTCCACTCTATTGATCTCCCTTCTATTTTCATAAGCTCCCCCTTCCCCTCAGCCCTAACTTTCACATAAGAGAAAACATTTGACTCTTGATGTTCTGAGTTGAGCTTGTTTTACATAGCATGATAATCTCCAGTTTCATTTGTTTACCAGCAAATGACATGATATCATTCTTTGTGGCTGATAAAACTTCATTGTGTGTATACACCACATTTTCCTTATCTATTCATCTCTTGATGGGCACCTAGGCTGGTTCCATAACTTAGCTAAATGAACTGTGTTGCTATAAACATTGGTATGCATGCATCACTATAGTGTGCTGGTTTTAGTTCCTTTGGATAAATACCAAGGAGTGGGATAGCTGGGTCTTTTGATGATTCCATTCCTAGTCTTTTGAGGACTCTCTGTGCTGTTTTCCAAAGTGGTTGGGCTAATTTGTAGTCACACTAACAATGTGTAAGTGTACCTTTTCTCCATATCCTCACTGGTGGGAATTTTCATGTGTGCCTTGTAACGTTCCATCAGGAGATATGGAGGAGGGAAAAGCTACCACTACAGAAAGTTTGCTTATAAGAAGCTTTACAACTTGAGGAAGTTCAAAGGATTAATATTTTTTAAATTTCTTGCTTTGAGTTATCTTGAAAACAGTGGTAAAGGTGCAGATTGAAATAAATATCCAACCCCCAATTTGAGTCTTGAACCTGAAGGGTCTGAGCACTTGAGGAGAGAGAAAGCTTTCTGAGAGTGCCCTGGGGACAATGGCACACAGTGGAGTTAGATGCTCAGCATTCCCCAGATCTCTTTTGCTTACAGAGGGAATTCCCATTTTAGCTTCTCAGTTGCTGTGTCACTGGGAGTGAATGAGTTAAACAATTTGAAACTGGTTTTCTTCCTCAGTGAAATCAGAATACTAGTCACGCTCTGCCATTGTCCCAGGCTTGCTCTGAGGAGGTGAAAGCTCTTTGCAGTCTGAAGGGCTATTCGGGTGCAGACTACTCATTCCTGTCTGGAGCCAGTTCCTCCCAGACCCTGCCACCTGGCCTGCTATTCTGCTGCCTCTACCCTTGAATCCTTTTCTCTGCTTCTGCCCCTTCATCCCCCCGTCACGTGATCACACTGCTCACTACAATTATATTGTCTTAGAAGGAGAGGACAAGCCACTGAGAGTCTAGTGGATGGACTTCTTATCTCACTGCCATCCCTGGTGTGTTCATGCACACTGAACAGTGGACCCAGCCTCATGGTATCCAGAGAAAAGACAGAGGAAAATATTATAGTTTATTGGCTCTGGGAAAAGATGGACCTTGGTGGAAATCCTTTCCCCTCCCAAGCCTGAGGCTTCCCACCTAAATAAGCATTATAACAGTGCTTATGAGACAGAGTTGTCCGGAAACCATTTAGGAAGGCTCAAGTGAGTTTACTCAGCAAGTAGTTTGGAGCACCTCCTACCTGCCAGGCAGTTTCTTTATCTGTAAAATTCGGATAACAACAATGCCCACCTCAAGGCAGGTAATGAGGGTCAAATGAGATAGATGCATGAACACCTTTAATACACTTGACACAAACTGCATACACACACACACACATATCCTATGAAGCAGATGCCACCATTGTCTCATATGACTGAAGAGGAAAACACAGAGGGCTCTATGACCTACTCAGAGTCACTGAGGTGCTCAGGATAAGAGCTGGGGTCATAGCAGGCTGGAGTGGGTGTGTTAGGTGTGTGATGGATAGAAACATTCAATACATTGTAGCTATTTACATTATCAGTATTTATGACTCTGTTCTGTGCATGATAGATGTTTTGTAAATGTCAAAGTGATTATATATCTTGCTGGAAAGATGAGTAATGGCCCATCACCCCAAAGCTTTCCACTCTTTAACTACTCTATTCCCAATAGTTGCAGTATCATTTTATCATCAGCACCTCAGAGCCAAACCAAGGGTGTAAATTCACATCTTGCTATTGTTCATGTTCTTTCTGCTACAGCCTGGTTCTTTGAAAACACAATCATATTTATTTATAATAAAACTGCTTCATGACTTGTTTGCCCTCTAGATTCCCTGTGCTCTTTGGGGAAGGCTGCTGAAGGGTGGTGAGACTTTGTGCTGGGTTGTAATTAGCTGCCTCAGACAGGGTGAAAGGCAGGGGCAGCCAGGAGAGGGAAAGATAGGGCTGTGTTTTTATTCGAGATTCCGCTGCTAGTGTCCTGTCAGTGTCTGCAGAGGAAGGGGAGAGGACACCTGTGCCCATTCCCAGAGGGACAGGCAACCTCATTCAAGCTCGAATGTATAGGAAAATGATAACGGTGGTTTCCTTGGGGCCTCTGTTTCTTGGGAATCTATAGAGCTTTTCTGACAAGCAGGGACAATTTATGGTTACCAGTCTTCTTACCAATGAGCCTCTTCCTACAAAGATCATTTGTCATCCTGTTGTTGCTATAATTAAAGGAGTCTATCTCCCTTCAAATAGTATTCTGCCCCAGGGAAAACCAAGGACAGGTTCGCAGGCAGTGAGACCTGGGAGGGGTCTTAAAGTGGAGTGGTTGTTGGCATTGGGAAGCCCCTCCATCTGAATTGCCTGGGCTGTGGTACAAGTCCTGGTCCCCACTCTGTCTCCTTTATTATTAGAATTCTTGGCCTGGAGGCTCAGGGAATCTCAATTCTTAACAAGTTCCCAAGATTGGTCTATTGCATAGTGATGCTTAGAAGACACAGATATCGAGTCACAGAATCAGTCATCTAAATTACAGACAGAGACATTAAGACACTTAAATTTTCCTCCAGAGGGAAAGATAACACTTAGGACTTCTGACTCTCAAACTAATGCTTTTTTTGTTTTGTTTTGTTTTTTTAATCACAATTCCTTTTGCTTTGTGGAAACCAAGTAATTTCTTTTGTAAACTTTATTTTAGCGTTTGTTTATCCAAGGCCAAGGCTTAGCTGAAACAGGAGGCAGTGGGTTTCGCTGATCCAAAGCCCATTTATTATTATTGTTGAAACAAGGAGGAATAGAATTTTGGGGGAAATAACAAATTAACATTTAATAGTGATGTCACAGAATAAGAACCATACAAAATGGAATCAGAACATTCATTGCTTTGTGACCTAGTGCTGCTGATCTAGAATGCTTTCTTACTACACAGTTATCTGAATGAGACTTCTTGACACCGATATGGTTGTCTCCAGATGACAGGGATCAAAAACGTCTTAGTACATAATGGATACTTCAAAATGCTTTCTTGGCCACAACTGCTTTATATTGACTCTTCCCTGGTGAGATATGTGCTAACTTATCCATTTAACTGATAAGATTCAGAGAAGTAACAAGATTTTCCTAAATTTGGTTAGCAACTGACTGAAGTTCAGAGAATATTATAAGGAACACTAATATTAATAAGTTTTTGAGTGTTTGCAGCTCTCTGGGCACTTGTGAACAATTTTCTTACTTAATCCTCACAGGTACTTTTATGTACCTATCTTATACCTCCTCACAGCCCCAGGAGATAGTGGCAGCACTTTACTGATGAAGAAACTGAGTTGTAAAGAAGAAATCACCTTTTATTCAATAAACAGATGTTGATTTTTAAGTTCTGGATATTATCTAGGCTCTAGAGATACCAAGTAAGCCAAGTCTCTCCCTTCGTAGAGATGACACTTGAGTGGGGAAAGATGAGCACTAAGGAAGTAAATACATAAATAAATATATAAATTAGCATGAAATGAGAATGAAAAGAATAGTCCACAGGGAGTCCTCGGCACTGGGGAAATGATCTGTGTGGTCAGATGAGTGAAGCTTGAACAGCCACAGAGGGAGGTGAGGAAAGGAGCAAATTTCTGACCAGGGGAAGAACAAGGGCAAAGACTCTGAATGTGCTTAGCATATCTCTCTTGATCCAGCAAAGAGACTAGAGCAGCATGATCAAGAGAAGGTAGGTAGTGTGGGATGAATCAAAGAGGGGGCTAGATGTCATATCCGGTAATGGTAAGGGAAATCCTTCCACTGAAAGAGGGTTAGGAAGCCACTGGAATATACTGGGCAGTAGAGTGAAATAAAATGATGTATTATCCAAGGACTGCTCTGAATGCTGTGGAAGGAATACTCAACAGAGAGCAAGGGTGGAACTCGTCCAAGGTTGTACAATAAAGCGTTAGGAAACGGTGGCGGCCGTCCTTGTCTCAGTATGTCTGTCTCGTTTCCTGCACCAGCTTCCTGAGGAGGTAGAGCTGCATCTAGTGAGCATGCTCATCTCACTCTCTGTCCCTCCACCATTTTTAAACCAGAGAACCACCATACATACAGAGGTTGTTGCCCTCTGGCAAAGGACATACTGGGGTGGGCCAGCAGACAGAGCTGTGCTTGCTGCAGGTGAATGTGGCCAGGACTTTCCCAAGGCCACGGCCACAGGAAGCCCTCACTCACCTTGGACTTCTCTTGATGCAGCTCTATCTGAATGTCTGTGAGCTTGGTCCTGAGGTCTTCATTGGCAGCTTGAAGGGCGACAATGAGTGCCTCGGGCTTCTCGCCCTTATTTCGCCCTTTCTTGGACATTGTTCCTTTCTAAGTGGAGTCTGTTGGTTTGTAATCCTTTCAAGCAGGTGCTGCCATGTTACTGATTCTTAGCCTGGGGTGCGTGGTTTCAGCATCTACTGCATGGCGCTCCTTGGTAAGGTGTCCACATCTGCCCTGGAAGCCCTGAGAAGAGGCAGAGACAGCAGTGACTGTTTGGCAAAGACCTGGGCTTGGAGCCAGGAGGTACACTCTCTGCCTGAGTGGCCTGCAGCTGCCTCCTCCTGAGGCTCTCCTGTCTCTGGCATCTCCTCCACACTTTGCACTGAATTTACAGTGGTTTCTCCAAAAGCCTAGTCTGATCATGTCAACGCCCTGCTCCTCCAGCTGTAAGCATATGACCTTCCCATCTTGGAGCGCTCTTCCTGAATCTGCCCACTCTTCTATCCTTATCCCTTCCAGGTCAGTCACTGATACTCTGGCCATTAAGGAACATGGGTCTTAAGGAAAGTCACCTATGTGGCCATCTCCAAACGCTCAGAACTCGAATTTTAAGAAAATCCAATGTATGTAGACTGAAGATTATATAATGGCTAAATAACAAGACGTGGGGATTAAGTATTAATGGATTAGTGCGTTAAATGAATTACGCAGACATTCAGTTAATATTGTTAAGAGTTTCTTCCATATGCTTTGCTAGGTGCTGTATGTTGAAATAAAATAAAATAAAATAAGAGTTCCAAGGCAGAAGAACAATCCTCTCCATCATCACCACTATCATCTCTCTGATTAGAGTTTTAAAGAAATACACACCAATTGTTTCGGAAGTATAGACAAGCACTTTTCCTTCTGCCTGGGGTGAATAAGAAAAGCTCCTGAGGAAGGCACCATTGTCCTGGTACTTAAGGAGTGGTGCAGCATCAACAGATGGAGAAACAGATAAGGCATCCTGGGCTGAGAAAATGGCCAATGCTGAGACACAGCAGAGACAAGCCACAGTGATTATTGTATGGAAAAGATGGGGTCTTGTTAATTACAGTCTGGATATGGATATGGCTGGTGGGCACTAGTGATGGAAAGGTTCCTGGAAGTGAAAGACGGTGAGAGACCTAGAATTCTAAGCTTAGAATTTTGTAATATTTTTTCAGTCAGCAGTGGAGAAGCTGTTGAAGTTCCTGGCAGGCGGGAGCACTAACAGGAAAGAGATTTGGTGTGGTGTTCTGATGGCAGAGTGGGGAGAGAATGGAGGCAGGGAGATCAGCCAGAATGCTATTGAATTTATCTAGGTGATGGGTGATGAAGGCCTAATCAAAATGCCTGTTACAAATCCTTAAATACTTCATAAAAACAAGGGGAAGTCAGAAAATTATGAGGATTGAATGGTTAATGTCAATGGGAAAAACATGACAAGATACTGGAGAAAGGTTCCCATGTAGTTGTTCAAAAAACAGAGTGTTTTGTACATTGAGGTGCTTCAGTCCACACCTAAGTGTGTGTGTGTGTGGGGGGTGTTCTGCTGATCATCCATGTGTTCCAGCAGCTGCTATGCTCTCAAGGGTCTTGTATTTATCTTTGAGGGCTATGCTGGGATCCTGGGCTGTGTGCCATCCCTCATGAGCACTGGAGCTGTGCCCTTTGGAGTGTGTCTGGGAGACATGGGAATAGGGAGAGTCAGGGAGGGTGAGCCTGTCTACAACAGTCATTAAACTGTCCACCATGTTCAATCCTGGGCTAGATACCAGAGTTGGCCTTCATGCTTTTGCAAATCTTGCCTGATCATTAAACTGGAGGGCTGGAAGACTTCTAAAAAGCAACCTTTCCTTGCAGTTAGTAGTAAAATGAATTAAGCAAGTATTATTGAACACTACTAGGCATAAAGACAAGTATACTTATACTTATACTTAAAACCAAGTAGGTATTGCTTTTAAGTATAATCAGAGCTAACTGGTTTCTTTTCATTTGGTTGGAGTTCCCCAGGCTTCTCCAGAGCATATCTCTTGGCCTCTCCTGTGACTCCCAGTTTTATATCATTAGCTCTAAGCATTCTTCAAACCCCACACTTGTATGTAGATTCCACTGTTTATTTACCAAATTCACTTGAGTATCTGATTGGCATCTCAAATCTAACATAAATAATGCAATACCTTTAAAACTAGTCTCCTAAAACCACATTCTCCCAAGTTTCCTCATATCATTAAATGGGACTGTCACATGTTGTTCCTGACACAAGCTTGGAAGTCATTATTTTCTTCTACTTCATTCCTTATTTTTCTTAGCCAGTCTTCTGGGATGTTCTTTCTGCTTTACCTTTCAAATAATTCTCTTTATCCAACTTCTCTCAAACCCCTAAAGTGCTGTTGGGACACAAGAAAAAGGAGCTCGGGAAAAAAAAAAAAAAAAACAAAAAAAAAAAACTTCCTATTTTTTCACATGGCTTTCCTGAATGAAGAGTGGGAATTTTAAAATGGAAAATATGGAGCAGCAGAGGAAAGAACTTGATCAAAAACCTGGAGCCACAGATTTGCCTGATGTATTCAGAAAAGGCTGTGAACTGGGAGAAGATAGGTTGAGGTCAGATTTCAAAGTTTCTTGCATGATAACCAGGGAGTTTGGATTTGATTAGGCAGAAGTGAGGAAATGGCAATATTTGACTATTAAGTGTAATAATAAAAATAAGAGCTGATGGTGACTGACTTGAGTATCTGATTGGCATCTCAAATCTAACATAAATAATGCACTACCTTTACTACTAGTCTCCTAAAACCTCATTCTCTCAAGTTTACTCTGCGCCCATCAAGCAGTCCATCATTTGGACTAGGCACTGAATATTCTACTCTCATTTAATTCTCACAAAAATTCAGGGACAAATCATTCACAGAAAGATTAGATCATTTGCTTAAGCCGATCAAGTGTTGGCAGCAAAGCTCAGGTGTGAATCCAGGCTGTCTGAGACTGGGACCCAAACTCCGATCCTCTGGTTCGCACTCCTTTATATTGTGTTTTAGAAATGTAAACTGTGTGGTTATGAAAGATGAGTTACTAAAGAGGGAGAGATGGGAGGGAGGAAGTCAGACTGCTTCAACAATCCATGTGAGAGGTGACATGGGCCCGAAGGGATGAAAAAGAGTGGCAACTTTAACAGAAGGAGACGTTGATGGAATTATGTTCTCTTTTTAAACATTGTTACTGGTTTGAACATTATCTCCTGTTACACATAATAAGTGCAAACTTTCAGGAACTGCTTGTAGGCAAAATCTGCAAAGCAACAGGTACAATAGATACATTTTGCATTTTCATTTATAATCCTTTCCAAAGAATTATAATACTATGCACCTGATTTCATGTATTTTTAATCTGGGAAGTAGGAACGTAATCCCATAAAAGCTGAAGAAAAAGAATGGGTAAAAGAATTAGATAAATGTTCAGGGGAGAAAAAAGCAACATGGGAAATTAGAATCAGCTTATGGATATCTTAAGGTGGGAAACTACACAACCATGGTCCTATGCACCCCTCTGATGGCATAGAACTTTCTAACATCTTCTCTAGTGGTGATGGGTGCCTGGCAATTTCATTCTCTAAATTCACTATTAAAGGTGTAGCTTTTTATGAGCTAAAAGTCACTCACTCCCCATAAAGTGCGTAATTCAGTTGTTTTTAGTATATATTAACAAGGTTGTACAAACATCATCACATTCAATTTTAGAACATTTTCATCATTCCTAAAAGAAAACCTGTATTGGTTAGTAGTCATTTTGAGATTCTCTCCCAAACTCTTAGCTCTCCCTGTCAACTGCTAATCTACTTTTCGTATGGATTTGCCCATTCTGAATATTTTGTATAAACAGAATCATACAACATATATTATTTTCTGCATGTACAGCTGACTATAGTCACCACCTAGTTAATCCATTCGACTGGATTAAGGTTCTGATTAGGTTAAGGCTCTTATAATCTATTCATTTGACCTCTTACTTTAGTGTAATTTTTTCAAGATTCATCCATGTTTCAGCATATATTGATACCTCATTTCTTTTTATAGGATTTTTTTGGGGGGGCGGGGACGACTGGGGATTGAACCCAGGAGTGCTTTACCACTGACTGAGCTACATATCCAGCTCTTTTTATTTTTTGGTTTTAAGGGCCTTGCTAAGGTGAAGCTGGCCTGGAACTTTCCATCCTCCTGATCAGCTTCCCAAGTTGCTAGGATAACAGGTGGGCACCACCACATCTGGCGCTTCATTTATTTTTACTGTTGAATAATATTCCCTTGTGTGGACAAACTGTAAGTTATATATCCACTCATCACCTGATGGACACTTGTGCTGCTTTTGCATAAGTGCCTTAAGGTCAGCTTCTCATAGCTACAGGGTCAGGCAGTGGAAGCCTCTGACAACATTATGAGGTATCAAATAGAATTTTACTCTATCCTTGTGGCCCTACTCCATTATATCAGGCACCTCCTACAGTCACAGTGGTTGAGTTCTCTGTTATGACATCTCTGATGAAGATATTAGAGACGATGGAAAGACTCCCAGGATTATTTGCATTTTAAACGGAGGATTGCTGATCAAGAGCAAGACTTAATGCAGGAATAGATTGTTAATGGAAGAATAACAGACACCACTCACTCATTTAACAGACACTGAGGAGGAAATATCATGTAGTGTTTTAGAGTAGAGCTACCCAAATTTTTGGTCTGATTGCATTGAAATATATGGGAGAGCCTTGGTGATCTGGGGATTTTTCTATAGTTGCTGCCAGGGGATTCTGGCTCACAGGCCTCTTCGAGGGCGTCTGGTACAGTATATGCTATGGAGTTTAACTGTCACCTATGTGATTTGGAATAAACCATTTAATTCTCAAGACCTCAACATTTCTCACCTTTAAAATGGGGTGAGAGGCACAGGGATCTACAGTACTTACGACATTCGACTGTTTGACAATTTAACCAAAGAAGGCAAGTTGTGCTCTTATTGGGCTCACAACTCAGGAAAATGGACAATCTGATTGTTTTCCATTTCTACCATTGATTTAGGTGGAAGATATGAAGTAGCCTATAAGCACTGTCCTTAAGGTACTTCAATTGGGTATGAATTTTAGGAGATGTGCAAAAATTATGATCCTTGAGGGTCTACACTTATGGGAGGCTTCTTATATTAAAAAGCCCTTCTGTTCTTGGTTCTTT